TGCTGCCCCTCCTCTCTCAGGAGCAGCCTCCAGTTTCCATTTAAATTGAGATTTTTTAATGCTCCTTTTCCTCTGTATCCAGGTTTAGTGAGCGGCTTCGGACACTTGAGTTGTGCCTCAAGGCTCCTGGATACCTCTCCCTAGTTAATGATCTCTCTCTTCATGTAACCAGGCACCTAATGAGATAATTTTGGGGCCTTGGTCCTTCCATCTGGTATGCCACAGCAGCAGAGGGACACACAGAGCATTAAAGATGCAGTTTGTTACCTTACTCCACAATCCAACTCTCACCGAATTGGATTTAAGCACCCATTTAATCATTTTATTCTTATCTAGACTGCTCAGCGCCGACAGCTGTGCTCACCCTGACAGCCCCCCAAAAGAAAAAACACCCACCCGTCCTCACAACCTCTCTGCAGGGTGAGCCCACGCTGCTGCCCTCGGTTCACCCACGAGAAAACCAGAGCTCCAGAAAGTGAACTGCCTTACCTGGGATGACGGGGCAGGAACAGAGCTGGCAACAGCACGCACGAGTCCTGACTCATGGTGCCTGCTCCAGGATCAGCCCCAGGTAGGAATTAATTTCACTCACCTCTGAAATACAGGCAGGGATGCAGCAATATGCTGCACGACTTCAGGATGGTCAGAGGAGGATGCTTCCTGGTGGAACTGCGGAGGAAACCCACAGCAGAAAAAAAAAAAACAACCCATCCTGAAACCAGATAAACAAGGTGTATTTTTGCCAAAGCAAGCTGGTTTGGAGCTGTTGTCCATTTCCCAGCCTGACCACAGAAATGTCTGTAATGCACAGGGGCCTGTTCCATAACCTGGAAGTTTTTGGTTTAGCTCACTGTCACCACCTCATCTCTTCGGATGCCGATGCCAGGAAGGTATCGGCCATCCACACGACCGGCCAGCAGCCCACAAGGCACAGGTGAGAGGTCCAGCCGGAGGGAGCTGGTGCTCTGCATCGCTGGTAGAGGAGAGCTCCGGTGCTTTGGAGACAGGGACTGTGGCAGTGTTGCCCAAAACAAGTTAAATGCAGACAATAACTGGACCAAAAAAAAAGATGATCACATCACCTTCTCCATTGTTTTTCTTTTGCAGGTTTACCCTGCAACTCATCATACGTAACAGTGATACATTAAGCTACTTGTTTTTCTCCAATCTCTTTACAAAGAGTCATGGATTAAGCCCCAGAACCTTGCCACAAGACGAGTATCAGTAAACTCTTCAAAAACAGGGAGAGCAGGACACTACTGCTTTGAAAAAAGCTGGGTTTTCTGACTCCCTCTCGCCTCCAAGCCAGGAGTCCCGAAGTAAAGCACAACCATACTACACGTGCTACAACACCCTGCTTTTAGTGTGGGAAACGATTATATATATTGCAGCAACACCCTGGACTTAGAGTAAGCATTACTTAGCAACAACTAAAACATCAGTCTGTTACCAACATTATTCTCATGCTAAATCTAAAAACACAGCACCGTAGCAGCTACTAGGAAGAAAATTAGCCGAAACCAGGGCAAAATGAAATCGGTTGCGTCGGGCCTCCCAGAAACATGCCAGATGGTTTTCCCCATCTCAGAACAACAACTCCTTCTCCAAGTTCGGCTGTACTGTCCTCCCAGAGCTGAAAAGCCTGGAGACTGTCTCGGTTTGACAGCTAGCCACCACTGCCACACGGGGAGATGGTTATACCTGCAGTCGAGTCTTACCAGTGCTTCCCTAGAAAAATCCAAGCATCGACCTTGGAGATATGGTGAGCTCTGCTTCCCTCCCACGCCGATTATGCTGTAACTTGACTATAATCGGTCTCTATTTAATAATTACCGTTACTCTGTAATTATCACTTTCTGATTTTTCTCTTTGTTAACGTTTGCCAGGGAGGAGGAGAGGCTTTTCTGCTGTGCCAGAGAGCTAAAGATGTCTCAAATTCAAGACGACATGGATGTGCTGCTTGCTGCTGCAGTGTTTAACCAGGCACCGATCAAAACACCTTTTCTGAAGTCAACCGTGTCACAGCCGGCAGGGAAATGCTGGGGGCTGTTCACTTGCTTTTCTGCCCCCAGCTAACCAGACACAAGCTCCCATATGCACAGGAGAAGCTAATTAAAGAGTACAGGTGAGCAAGGAGTGCTTCTTAAGAAGCCGTTATTATTGAAATGAGACAGCAAGGGAGGCAGTGTGGAAGGATGCTTAATGAAATGGGGGAGGAAGGGAATTAGAGGGAGAACAAAGTAAAAGGGGGAAGAAACAGTCTAGGAAAAGGAGGAGGACCTGACTGATGGAAGATGTGGCAGAGGCGCAGAAACCAAAACAATCATGTTCTTGCTTTAACATCTGATTTTCTCCTCTACCCTCAGAGTTTGAAGGGCTCAGACACCCTCATTCCCAAAGGCTCCAAAACAAACACTCTGACATCCTGGGGCTAAAACACAGTTTATGTTCATCCTAGAGTGCCCTCAGCTGTGCACGTCCCAGCTCAGAGAGGCTGGCTCTTGCCCCAGGAGCCAGAGCAGACCTTCAGCATGCCGAATCCTTCCCTGCAAGACGCTCCAGACAAGCTGCTACCAAGCAGAGCCTCAGGGCTCCAGGAAAGGTGGCTGCATGCCTGTCCGGACCTGCCGGATAATTTGCCAGAGCAACAGAGAGAGAGTCAGAGGTGAACCTAAGAGAGTTATCCTAGCAAGGCCCTTACCTCCTTCCTGCACAGCCCACCAGAAACATGAGTTTCCCTAGCTAAAGGCTGCTATGCAGCACAGCACCATCCCACCGAGCACAAGGCAGGATTATTTAGCTCTGCCAGCAGCAGTTATCACTGAGTAAGCAGTGGCATTTGGCTTGTGCCCAGTTAGCAGCCTTGGGCTGATGGCCTTTTGGACATGGGCAGTGGCAAAACCAGCCTCTCTCCCCACAAGCACAGCTGCGTTTTTACTTCACGGGCTACAGAGCAGAGGCTCAGCAGACCACACAAGTCTTTGCTTTCTCAGCTGAAGTCACAAGGAAAGTGGAATCCGAGCCCTTGCATTTTCATCTTTCGCAGAAAGCATTTTTCCATGGGTCAGCTAGAGAGAGCAGCAACACAGATCTCCGCTGCCCACCTGGGCTGGATCTGAAACTGCGAGTTACAAAAACACGTATCCGAACCCCTTGAGCCATCTGGAAAAATCACTCTGGCTATTCCACACTTCTTAATGCAAACTCCTGCCCAGGCAGAGAGTACAATACCATGTTATCCTCAAACTCCTCAGAAAACAGGCAACTGCAGTAGTGTCCCTGCTTCCATCTCTCCTCGAGCCCACCCCACCACCCTGGTTCCCAACCCCATCTCAATTGAACGCATTGCTGGTGAAAGGCGTAATCTTCTCCAGCGAGATGGTCATTTCACACTGCACGTGCATCACTGCAGGCGAGGCATCCGCAGGGCAGATGCTGTGAGAGGGCTCGGAGACCTGAGAAACCTGGTCAAAGGACACCTCATTGTTTTCCATCTGCAGAGCAGCATGGGGGAGAAGCTGGGGGTAGCTGAGGGTCACCACTTCCTTCTGATACGTGGTGTCACGGTGGTAGGAGACCAGCTCATTGCTGAAGTTCACCGTCTCCACGGCATTGCTGGGGCAAAGGCAGCCACAGCCCAAGATGGTTGCAAAAGCTCTCCGGAAGTCTGCATTGAAGGCATAGATGATAGGATTGAGGGCAGAGTTGGCCCACCCAAACCAGACGAAGATGTTGAAGACAGTCTCGCTGACACAAGGTAGTTCTCCTGGCTCACGTAGGTCAAGATTACAGAAGGGCACCATGCAGTTGAGGACGAAGAAGGGCAGCCAGCAGAAGACAAAGACACCCATGATGACTGAGAGGGTCTTGAGGACCTCGGTCTCCTTCTTGAAGGAGTTCTTCAGGGAGGCCTCGTGAGGGCAGTCGCGGCTGTGGCAGCTTTGGGCATGTTCCACTGCCCTCTCCAGTGAGGAAATCCTGCGGATCTGCCGCTGGGCAATGCAGAAGATGCGGGTGTAGGTCACAATCATGATGGCAACAGGGATGTAGAAGCTAATGAGAGAAGATGAGATGGCGTAAGTCCTGTTGAGGCCAGAATCACAGTTTTCATTCTCCCCAGTGATGTTAAAACCTGTCTCATTTTGGCTTAGGAGCTCACGGTCCTTGTGCCACTTCAGCTGCACAGGGATGAAGGAAATCAGGAGGGACAGTAGCCAAGCCACTCCGATCGTTATGAAAGCCACACGCTGCGTCATCTTCCTCTCATAGCGGAAGGGGTTGGAAATGGCCCAGTAACGGTCCACGCTGATGATGCACAAATTGAGGATAGAGGCTGTGGAGCACATGATATCAAAAGCCACCCAAACATCACAGAAAGCCCCAAAGGGCCAGAACCCCGCCACCTCAGTGGCAGCTTTCCAGGGCATCACCAGTACAGCCACAAAGAGGTCAGAGACTGCCAAGGAGATAATGAAGAAATTGGTGACCTTAGAGCGCAAGTGTCTGAACTTGATCACAGCCGCACACACCAGGGTGTTGCCCAGGAGCGTGGAGAGGATGAGAAGGAAGAGGGAGGCAGCCGTCACCACACGGAAGGACAACTTGGAGTTGCCTTCCTCTGCCCAGATCTTCCTACTGCTGGTGTTATTGATCACACCCTGCCCATCTCCTTCTGCAGAGGAGTAAAAACCATCCATGGGTTCCTCCTCGTTCCAGTCCCTTGAGCAGTTTCACTGCTGTTCAAGTCCCCATCAGCATCCAAAACCCCTTTTTACTGCTCCGCTGACATCTCAGAAGCACCAACTGCAATCCTCCCAGCTCTCGCACCCAGCCAGACGACCCAGCACAAGGAAAAGTGCTTGAAGCTCTCACTCCTTTCCAAGTCTCCTGCTGACAGCGTGGCGTTCTTTTTTCCCCTCTCTTGCCTCCCACCCCACTTCTCTTTCTTTGCAGCCTGCCGTTCACAAAGAGCTGGCACTCACCTCCGGCACTCCAGCGAGCTGGGAGGGCTTTTGCTGCAAGCCTTCCTCCCCCTCCTCTCTCAGAAGCTCTTCATCCGTTGTTGATCTGGTGCCTGCTACAGAATCCCAGTCAATCTCTTCTGCGCTGGCCAGGCTGGGACTTGCTGCCAGATGCAAGAGGGAATCAGGCACTCTCTGCTCTTGCAGATGGACCTTCTCTGCACATAAACCAGGCTGCTCTGCTCTTCCCTCTGTTGCTAATAGCCTCTGGATTTCACATAGGTGAGATCTGCCTCTGCCCACACACCAGGTCCCCTACTCAGCAGGTCGGTCCTCTGCGAGCCAAGAAGAACGTGGCATTGGGAGTCCGCAGCTGACAGGGTAAGTTGCTTGGGAATTAGGTGATAGGATTGAAGGGGTAAAATAACAAACATTCTAGGGGGATTTGAGGGTCTTCAATGCAAATCAGCAAGGAAATCTAGTCTGCTTGATCTCTGAATAAAAGACACCTAAATGCACTGCACAGGCACCGAGTCATGGCTGGGGTACATGACCCTAAACCAGTTACTCTCCCCTGTCCCGAGCTGCCCAGCTGCAAGTGGTGCAAAACTGGCATTTACTTTCCACTACAAAATTCCTTCAAGTCCACAGAAAATAAAAAAGGAAAAAAAAAACCACACACAAAAAAGCTTGTACAAATCTGAAAGTTTTTTCTTTCTGAAAGTATCAGACAAAGCACGGTTTTCAGACAGTCTTTCTTTCATTAGAGGTTATGTTAGAACCAAAAAGGATATTGAACATCACTTTGATAAGTTTCTTTATGCTGAATAAACGTGAGTACTTTCAGTAAAGCGATATAAGGTAGCTTCTCTTTCGAGTTCATCATTCTTTAATTCCTAGCTAATTCCACATTAGCTATCACCTCAGTGATCGACTGACAGCTGAAAACATTAACCAGAAAAAAAAAAAATCAAGACATCTTTCCAGCACAGTACCCATCCTTGCCAGTAAACAGCGGTCAGCCCTAAGAGGTCTCCTCACTACCCTTACCAACCATTCCCCCGAAAGCACAGGAACAACTCTTCCTTCTCGCACAAGGGCCGAGTAGGGCCAGACAACCCCAGCCCGCTGTGTCAAAGTGAGGGCACAGCCTGGTAGCCTGCTGGGGCTGAAAGGCAGCAATCACAAGCATCATGGTACTGCAGAACTGGGGGCAGCTCTGGAGGAATGAGCAGGGGTATCCCCCCTAAAACTACTCTTCCTACCCCATAAAACTCTCACTCCTGACCGACAAGCAAACGGCTCTGCAAGACTCTCCCCTCTCACACCAAGGGGGAAAAACACCACAGTGTTAGGAACCAGGTCTGACCTGCTAAGGCACAGTTTAGCCTTAGGAGCACTTGGAATCCATCGCTTTGTTACTAAAGCCACTCTGTAAGCAAAAGGGCTCCTTTGATCAAGAAATGTCAGAAATCCTTCAGGAGGCAAGTTTCCTCGAGAGCCAGCTCTGTAACAGCTGCTTAAATAGGGACCTGCTTTTGAGAAATGCCTTGCTGGTAAACTGGCCAAGGTGGGAAAGAGCAGCAAAAGCTTTCTAAATCAAGCTGAAAAAACCACCAGGCAGTTCAGCATTAATTCACTCATTACATTGATAGTTGCTGTAGTGTATCACGATGACCTCTGCCTTTGCCTGTCACAGACACCAGTTCTGAAGAAAGCAGCAACCAATCTAGAGAGTCAACTCAGCTGCACCGAGATTTAATTAACTTGACCCTGCAACCCAGGCTTTGCATAAGCCCAGATAGAGCAGGAACTGCCCAAGAACAACTTTCAAACAAGAGCGCAATTATTCTCTTGAAGATACAGCACCAAGAAGCTTACTCCTAAAGTAAACAGCACGCTTGCTTTGTGACAGGTTAAAGAAACTTGTTGCCAGCATGTCACAGCATTTACTTCTGAAGGCTTTGTTTAATTAAATCTCATTAGTTCCACCGTCTGCAGCCTGCTCCTGCCAAGGGCCTACGCCAAGAAGAGTAGCTAGATGGCACCAAGAGCCGGCTCATGGCTCGGAACTTTCACTTGGCTCCTCTGTGTCAGGCCAGCTCCCTTCCTCCTTACCAGAATTTCAGAGGAAGAGGAGGGACATCTCATTGCCCAGACACCAGAGGACCCTGGCAGTGCACTAACCCATGCAAGGATGGATGCAGACACACTCTCTGCCCCAAAGGGCATTTTTCTCCTATTCCCTATACTGGGCACAAAGATTTTTAAGATCTAAGTTGCCAGACACAAACAACAGGATGCTTTCGCTGCTCTTCAAGAGAGCGGTGATGGCAGGTGATCTGTCAGACAGCATTAAATCAGAGGCTTGGAGTGGGAGCTCACTGCACACTTTGGTTGCACATTGTAAGCCAGGACGCATTCCAGGAAATCATTCCTCAAGATACAAGGAAGCCTTCCTCCTCCTGAGGAGCTTAAAAACATCTAAGAAAGGATCCCACCCTTGCCTGCTACTTATACTGAAGCAGACATTCAAAGCTGGGTTGGCAGTGGGAAAAAAAAAAAAAAAGAGATGGAAAGGGATCCAATGCATTACCCAATTTCTGTGCATCTCTGAACACACCTAATGAAGAAAGGTCCGTTAGCTCTGCTGTCATAGGGAAACAAAATAGTAACTCAAAAAAGATAAAGGAAGCTACTCACATTCACAGATTAACTCCTCCTGCCTGCTAGATGCAATCTTCTCTCCTAAGAAAACTTAGAAAATGTTCTGCTGCATTATATTACTAAACAGTTGCTACATTTCCTCGCATAAGCAGCTGCTATTTTTTCTGAGAATCAAGTTAAGTACTATTTTAAACAGCACTCAAATATGATAAGATTCCAGTTTGGTGGCAATTCAGCTCTAGGTTTTTATATTTAATTTCCTCACCCAGCAAGAAGCTGCCCTCTATTTCCCTTCCCTGCTGTCTCACCAAAATATACTTAAAATTCTCTATTCAGCCATCTTGATTACATTCCCCACTTTGCATCAAAGGAAGAAAATTACAAGCCACTTCAAATAAAGCAGCAGCTGCTTGGGTTTAACTCTTAAATGCCTCTTCCAGAACGGCTGTCTCAGTCAGATGCAATACAGAATTACAGGAGAGCGTTTATTCCTACAGGATTCACTTTGCACTTTACTTCCAGAGAAGGTACAAGTTCTGATAGCAGGGTAAAAATGAGGGGTAATCGGATCCTTTAAAAGAAAAAATAATAATAAAAAAATCCAGTGATACTGGCTTTAGGCGAGACCTGAGCCCTGCAAAAAAACCACACTAGCTCTCCAAGGACCAGCATGCCAGTTCAGATCAAACCTCTTGCCAGAGGAAACAGGCTTGACTGCCTGCAAATCCAAAGCTTACTTCAGGCATCTTAGTATCAGAGGGAAGCAGGAGTGATTTGTTTTGAGTAGCTTATGCACCAGATTACTCCATTTAGATTCACTGTCTTTAAGACAGAGGAAAAAACAGTACCAGTCCCCTCAGCTGTACTGCTTAATTACAATCAGAACAAGAAGCTGGACAAAAACTCACCTAGAATAAGGCTTATATATTGTTTAGTGCAAAACCAAGGGGTCAATTAGGAGAACTGACTTCCCGGCACAGCAGTGTGCTTCACAGCCACAGCAAGGTGGCTTAGGCAAAGGACTGTGTTCTGTGCAAGCCCTGAAATTGCACTAGTTTGTGAGATGCTCAACGACGAAAAAGAAGTGGAAAGATAAGACAGGCTGAAGCAAAGAAAAAGCAGCAAGCCTTTCCACAATGATACTCGTAAAATCAAGGCGCCACAAGCAAAAGCCAGTACAGGCTCCTTGGTAAAAACAGACAACTAACTGTTGGGCTTTTTTAAACAGAGAGAAAAGGCTCAGGGAAATCAAAGTCTGGTACAGCAGTTACTCAACTTGATTTTTGAAAAGGCAGCCCAGGAATTTGCCCATTTACTTTCAGCAGACAAGTTTTACAGATGCAGAAGCACAGCTGGAACAGCACTAGTATGGCAGTGATCTGTGGCCCAGAGAGAAGAAAAAGGAGGCACCACAAGGGACTCTGGTTCCTCCCCTCCCCTTTATTACACGTAGGCAGAAAACACAGTGGTTTTTCTCCCGTTTACTTACAAAGGAACAGAATACAGAGCTTCAAGTCATTTCACATCATTCCATTGTGCAGCCTGGGTAAACTGCTAGTTGGCTACAGCACATCTTCTCTGGCAAGAGTCTGCACTCTTGAACAAAGTGACAATGAAGCCAGAGCCAAGACAGCACCCTAGTGACACCTGTAACTTCTTCCCCCATCCTCTGGGGCTAAAGCTGGGTCACTAATAATTAACAGGCCATGGGAACTCCAGCTCTAGTTTACTGTTCGCCCAAGCTGCCATCCACAGGGCTTCCAGCAATGAAGGCAGTGTAGAAGCAGTGACAGGAATACATTCCAAGTCAGGGAGAGGTGTGGAGAGAGGAGGACTGGTCATACATCAACACGTAACTAGTCACTCCTCTGCCACACACAGGCTCTGTGTGCGGAAAGCCCAGTTGAGAGCACATTCCCCTCCTGAAAGGATTTACTTATTCGTGTTAGGTATCAGGCTTTCTGCTCTTCCATGTGCATACACACAATAAAAAAGTGACCTGCAAAAGATGATGATTTCACTTCTGATGGGTAAAGACAGCCTCTAAACAACATCTTCAGTTGACGTGCTCAGGTTTTTTTGCATTAGGAACATTTAGAGTGTTTTGTTTTGGGGCTTTCTGGTAACTCAGAATCTTGTGGAACTGCAACATCAAGACTGAAGGCAAAGTCAAGGCTGTTATATGAAACTGTCCTCTCAAGAAAGGGAAAAAAATGACACATCCCTTTCTCCTCCCACCCCAAATCGCTCCATGCAAGAGCTCAAAGCAGATCACCCTGCAGCTCCCAAGAAGTTTTGCAAACAAGGAAGATACAAGAATAGCAAACAACTCCACTTTCAAGTAAGAGCAAGCAGAAAATTGTATTATAGTGACCGCAAGCCTTTGTCACAAACAGGCAGCGTTAAGAAACTCCTTCATTTAAAAAAATCTTTTGCAGGTCTCCCTTTTAAGGCCTTAGTGTCATTACAGAAAGAGGAATTATTTTTGTCTTGTGCTTGCAATTGCTGCCCCCTAGAGCAGCAACAAAATCTCCTACAATTTAACAGTTACAGTGTCTAGTTGTCCACGACCGTGCAAAATACAGACAGGGAGGGATAGAACTATCAACGGGTGTTTAAGCTTGGTGCAGATAGGTACTGTCCTTGACATAAGTTATGTGCCAAGTGTTTTAAACAACCACACAAACAGCCAAATGTTGAGCAACTGCAATACTGCTGCAACTCAGATTCTCAACATCAGCCACAGCAAAGGGAAAAAAAAAAGAAAAAAAAACAAACCAAAAAAACGAGCACTGTTATGGACATAGAAGAGTTTATCTTCACTGGGCAGAATAGTGAATTGCATTCCCAGGAGGGAAGTCTGGATGTCGCAGAGTGACTTGGGATCACAAGTCAAATTGAGACCAGTGCAGATGTTGGCACAGAGATGACAAACACCAGCCGGGGCCAGTTCCAGAGTGGATTGTCATGGCAGGAGATCCTGTTGCTGAGCAAAGTGATATCCACGAAGAACAGGGGAGCATTACCCCTCTCCCCAGAAGTTCTTGTCATTAGTTAAGGAACCTTAAGATAACTTCTCAAACTGCAGCAACAGGATGCTGTTGGGTCTTTAGAGATTCAGTCCCAGAGCTGTTTTGGGTTCAGAGGAAGCAGAAGGAGTCTTTTGTGCCAAATCTATAAAGAAAATTGCAACAGAAAGAGATCAGTTTTCATCACTAAGGAGGACTAGATCAGCCACATCCGTAATTAACAAGTACAGCTTCAGGGCGCCTCAGTGCTTCAATATTCAATTGCATTCTCTTGGAAACCCAGGCTTCATGTTTGATATGGGATGCTGAGCCGCCTTCTGCTCAGAGACTTGAGACTATCAGCTGCCCAAACAGGAAAAAAACCTGTATGGACAGGCCTGCGTAATTATTCATTAACAGACTCCTGAAAGGAAAATTAAAGTCTATTTACCCCTGTCTAAGACAGGTCCAGGGAAAACTCAGCATGCAGTTCAAGCCCATAAGCTCTCAGCTCTGGTCACTCACTGTTACCAAATAAAGACTAGTTTAGTACTAGTTTAAGCAGACAACATACCTATGACACAAAAGACATAGTAAGCATTCTAGGACAGAGAAGATGCTACGTGCTTGGCAGCAACAGGCATGAAAACGCTGGTCTACTTTATCACTGTTAACAGAACATACAAAAACCACCGCCTGGCTTTGTACAGGATTTGTTAAACAACAACAAAAAAATAATCAGTCCAAGCACTAGCTGCCTCACAGGGCCTTCAACTTTCCCTATACTCCATGGCAAAAAATCCAGGCAGAATTTCTAGCAAAGAGCGCAGTACTCTCAAGACCGAGTCTGGTAGCGAAAGACAATGCCAGTGAGCACCTGGCAGCGATACCAGGACAGCTTGTTCTCAACCGTGTAACTGGAAGTGGGAAAGATTCTGGCTCAGACTTTAGTTCTGCTAGACATCTTTCATTTTGCAAGGTTGTCATAGATCCTAACAGCAGCTAGCTAACACGACTTGCTGACGTCCATACCTCCATCAGAAACGGAGAGCTTTTCCAACTCTGCTTCAAGCTCGGCATCAGAAATGGGGGGATTCAGCACCTTCTGGGGAACAGCAGGCAGATCTACAGGCTCCTTAGTCGAGTCCTGAAGGAGACTGTCCAGCTCCTTCTCAAGTTCCTCAGTGTCCATCTCTGCTGATTAAAGAAAACTTTCAGTTCCAAGCAGAATTAAGAAGCATCTCTGCAGCACAGACTGAAGTCCAAGTTTAACAGAGGTATTATTACTCCCATCCATCATTACTCATAATAAGGAACTCCCTGTGCTGCTTCTAAAGGTGAAAATTCAGTCCTGATCTCAGGGAGAAGCTATTCCTTTAGAAGGCTTTGTGCTGAGGCATCTAAGGGCAAGAAAACGTTTCAGCAGAGAAACAAGCTGCAGCAACACACAGGCCAGAGGAAAAAGATCATCACCTAAAAACCAAAGTGGCAGCCACTCTAAAAATAGATTTAAATCAATGTTACACAACTCTGAACTGAAATCCACCAGCTCTTAGAGACTACAAGGATTTGAGATGTACAAATGCCAGTTCCCCTGCAACACACTGTCAGAGATGAGACCTCCTTGTCAGTTCTTCCCAAGGCACTGGTAGCAACACCCTTGGTATTTCAGGAAGTGCTTATCCTCCCAGGAAGGAGGACTAGACATATGTGGGGAGGGAGCAGGGAAAGGATGGCAGCACAAAGGTCCAGCAGTGGCAAGAGAAGACAAACAAAGGATGAAAAAAAACCCCAAAACATACCTAGACCATTGACCCCCACTCCAGCCAGAGTCTGGGCTACTTCATCTTGAGTATCACAAAGCTGAGGAAAAATACACAGCGTTTAATACAGAATATAAGCTAATCTTATGTCTTACTGTAGTCACCTATGTCAAAAGTAGAAATAAGAAAAAAAAAAATCAAGAGTAGACTTAAAGGCAGCAGGTACTACTGCAAGAGAAGCTTCCAACATGACTGTTTTTTCAGTAGCAAAAGCAGTAACATGGAATATTATTTAGTAAGTGCTACCAGACCAAGTAGCAGGTTTGAGGATCAAACCTGAAACAGAATTTCTCAGACAGAAAAAAAAATCTCCCTAATTTTAGCTTTTTCACTTAAGTAATGAGCCTGTATTGTGGCTTAGGCTAAGAAAATAAGGAACCTGAAGACCAATACATCTCAGCTATGAAATTTTACAGTCAGTCCCTCAGCCCAGTAATTGAAGCCACCATTTAAGTACATGGAGCTGTAGTTGCTAAAAAAGTAATCCTTTTCTGTTTTTTTACACCAGCTTATGCAGACAGATTACTCTCTTCATTTCAATTCATTCAGAATAAACTCGTCTCCTTTCCCTTATCGAATTGCAGAAGATTATGGGTTAGGCAGTTTTAAGACCCTGTTTTTATGCACATAGTTGCATTCCAGCTTCCAAAGATATGACTTGTATTTCTTTTTAATTCATCTCACTAAACATTTTCTAGAAGACTTGTGTGCTTGCACAATATTGCTAACCAAAAGAATACACAAAATACACAGATTTAATGTAAACTGTGATTACTAGCCAGCAATAAAGGCAAATATGTAAGCCCAGACACAGCCAGTTATTTGAAGACCTCTGCTTGCTGATTTAAAAAGATCAAGTCGGTTTGCTCTGGTGACATATGGAATAGAAACCAAAGAGCACCAGAAGCCTCAGCATTAATAGCTGGGCACATATACACACTACTTGCTTGTTTATTTAGAGGTGCTCTTATTTCAGTACCTCTTGTATCTGATCCACCAGGTTCTCCGCCTTCTCCACAGTAACATCTTTCATAGACAGTTTCAGAGCTCCCACACCAGCCTGATAGGCATTAAATACCTTAAAAAAAACAAAAAGATGCACAATGCTAACTAAGAACAAACAACAGGCAGTGTAAGCTTCTCTCAAGACCTGTTTCTCTGAGGGTCCCGCTTGGATAACATTAGCGCACAAGAAGAAAATAAAGCCACAAGCAGGTCTACTCAGAGCAATACCCCAACATCAGAGCAGAGATTAAAAGTCTCAGCAGCCAGCTTACACCCCTTACACATGAGTTCTGACAAGCAGGTAAAAGCAACACAAACGAGAAGAGTGGGGCTAAAGTGAGAAGCACAAGACAAAATTAACATGCTACCATCTGGTCAGTCTGGGAGGCATATATACGATCCAAGATCCCCTGCACTGCATCCAGCTTGGAATGAAGCTCCTCAATGCGCCTTTCTGTCCTTCGTTTGGCTTTCAAACATCTCAGCGCCTGGAGACATCAGATACACAGACTTGGGTCGCAAACCAGGCAGCAGTCAAAGGAAGTATTAAAAAAAAAAACGGCAATCCCTGTGCAGCAAGGCACACACACAACAGCTGGTTTTAAGAGCTAGATATTTCCATTTCTCTTCACCTCATCACTCTGGACAAATATATTCTTATCTCCACCTTAAGGAGACCTTTGGCCTCAGAAACACCACTTCAACACATTTAAGTATACAATGCCTAACTCTGGTCATTATCTGTAGTTATGGACTAGCTCCAACACACTTAACTTGTAGCTCCTCCCAAGTAGAGCAGTACTTACCAATTGCTTTTTCCCAGCTCTACA